TTCGTCGGAACGAAGTTACGGAAAAATCAATTAACAAACGGAGACATAACAATACAATCATCTCTATGGCCATTAAGTTGTAGTGTGGGCAAGCAACAGTATGAATGGATGTACAGATTTTACTGTGCTTCCAAGAGAATAAATTACCACACAACAATATATTTATACATGGACTAAAAACAATGAGGTATTTATATACATGACAAACAGTTAAGGCTACTGTAAAAACTATAGTGTGTGAATGTGTCCTGATAAGAGAGGATTGGTTTTCTTTTAGCAAAGCCACATTGGACTACCTGCTATGTCCACTGCAGGGAACTGAAGCCCAAATTTTAGCATTTTAAGTTCATAAACTTACCACTGTCAGAAGTAGAAGATATACTGTCTGTCAGCCTCATATATGAAATAAAACTGTTCATATTTTGTTACAACTGGGAAAAACTAATTGATCCTAGGCCTATCCATAAAATTACAAAAACTAAAACAAATAAATCAGTTTCAGTTTAAAACTTGAAAAAATAAGTTCTATTTTTTCCACCTCTTGCTGAAAAAAAAACCTGTCTGAAAGGTTCATGTAACATATCACCATATTTCTAAGTATTCTTCCAATAAAAAAAAAACAAATAAAATGTTTTATAAATACTTTTTCATTGAATTTCATTGTATTATTTCTTCTGTTCATGTTTAAAATTGTTTATTAAAGTACAACATTCACTTCAAACAATATGATTATTATGTATAATAAACAATTAAATAATAGCAATAACAAAAAGGACTTTGAAAAGTTTAAAGGAACTAAATGTGGTTTAAGGGATAAAAATATATACACAGTTAAAAATTCACTAAAAGAATTAAGCACGTAACACTAAGATATCTTAGTGACGTCAGATCAATGCTTACCAAAGTACCTGTGGATAAAGGGCAAAGGAAGATAAATCTATCTTCGAGCACCCCAGATGTTTACTTCTTGGCAACCGACATTTTGATGCCGATCTAATTGATCTAAATTCCTATCAGGTTTTTTTGGATTTGGAAAAAGCTGGGGCATGTTTTACGTAATAAAAAGATGAGAATTCAACTTCAGAGATAATTGAAATGATTAAACTTCTTGAAACATATTAAAAATTTGTGTTTTCAAATAAACAGTAAAGTTTATAAAGAGAACAAAGGTTTAGCTATCAGTTTTCCAATTATCTCCGTTATTATTGGACCTATTCATGGTCAGTTTTGAAACTGAAGTGTTAGATAAAGCAAATAAAAAACTAGAATTTGGTTAAGGTATGTTGACGACACATTTTTGATATGGCGGCAGTATAAAGAGGAATTAGTTGCTTTTGTTAATTACCTTAATAACATTGACAATTCTATCAGATTTACATATGAAGTTGAAGATAATAACTGTTTACTTTTTGTGGATGTTTTAGTGAGTGAGCATGAGGATAGATTGAAAACTAATATTTATCGAAAAGTTTTCTCTGTAATCATTCCATCACATCAAGAATTGTGTGACACTAAATCTTGGAATAGTACTGTTTTTTTATTCTTATGTGGATAGGATATTAAGAGTATGTTGCAACTATAAAGACATCAACAATGAGTTATTGTTAATTAAATATTTAGTAGTAGAGAGAAGTTGTAATCCTGACAGAGCTGCCAAAAAACTAAAAAGCAAGGATGAAAATATTAAATTAAAAACCACTTGCTGAAAAAAAGTAAAATAAAAGGTCCTGTATTGTCATATTTTTCTGGTGTATCTTGTCAAATAATGAAAACATTTATATATAGACTGGTGACCAAAATTAGCCAAATTCTTAACATAACTAAAGATAAATTGAAAAATTTGGTATTGTTACGACAGCTGAAGTCACGTGATGCTGGTAACATGTAATGCATTCTAGAAAGATCGGGGAACATCACGAATAATCCAGTATTTGCTAGACACCATCTATTCTTGTATATAAGTGCGCCAGACAATTAATCGGGATAGAATTGCAGACAGACCAAGACGGACAATTGAGTCAAGCGCGGTAGTAAGTAAGTGCGTGAATCATTCCCTGTGAATTATAACGTGTTTTTATAAAATTAGTTAAGTTAAATTGGCTGTGGAAATTAAGTGTATTGCAAAGTTGAATTGAGAAAGAATAAACTGGTTTTATTAAGAAAGGACTTTTGTTTCATCCAAAAGAAATTATACGGGAAATTAACTAACGACCAGAGACGTAACAGTATATATAAACTATCATGTGAATGTGAAAAAGTTTGTACAGGACTAACTAGAAGATATTTAAAATACAGAATGAATGAACACAAAAGAAATGTTAAAAACAATGATATTACTATTTCACCATTAACAGAACATATTAATGAAACTAAACACATTTTAATGGGAAAAAATTGTTATTTTAGCACAACATGAAAATGTTATTGGTATAAATCTATTGTGAAAATTAAATGTAACAAAAATAAGTATATGATATTAAATAATGATGATAGATCTCATATAAATGTAGTTAGTGGATGGCGTGAAATTCTTTAATATAAAATAAATTTAATTGCACTTGGTGGCTCTTTGTTGTAAGTGTATAAATAGGTCTGATTCTTGCATAACACTGTACTCCTGAGGATGATGCAGTAAGACATCAAAACATGTCATATGTACAAGACTGTTTCCAGTTTCATCAAGTTTTTTTTATCCTGTTCAGTAAATTATTCAGTATCTTATTGTATTTTTGAGACTGAGTACAGTCTCATTTTTATAATTAGTGTATAATAATAATTTTTTTCAAAAAAACATTAAAGTTATAAAACTATCCTAAAAAACTCAAATTCAGCTTACAGGACTTTTCCACCAGAATAAATACATACATTTTAGTGCTTTCACTGAGCTAGTGGAGGGGGGTTTGATATTTGGAACTTCAAATCTTTGAAGTAATTGCTAAGGCCATGAATAACATTTAAATACAACTTATAAATTTTACTAACATGTTTTCCAGATGTCCAATAGATGAAAGTCTACAGTTTACCATCATATGAATAATTAATCTGTCAAGTTCTTGACTGAGTACAGAAACCAATCTAACCCCCCCCCCCCCAATTTACACGTGGATGAGTATACAATTAATAAGAGAAATCTAAAACATGCTGACCTTTCTCATTTACACATAAAACCAAACAGTGACCAAGTTGTTATTTTAAGTAATACTGAAGTTCCGATACTACATTAAATATCAGACCTGTGCCCAGAGGCATATCTTGTCTCAACTGCTGGGTCAGCCTCACTGTCCAAAAGAATACCAAGATGCTGCAAAACCTTTAAATCTTGTCCTACTGCATGAATTTGCTGTATTTTGTCAGGCTGAAAAACAAAACAAAAATACTTCAGTAAGGAAGCACATTATGCTAATAAGTAGGCAAACACATACCTCAAGAAGACATACCAATATTCTATCAAAAACATGTAGTGCATTATAACATTAATACAAATTTTCCTTATGTTTAAAAATCATTGTTTGCCTACCTATTATAACAAAAAAAAACTGAAAATATCAGACATACTTGATTCTTTTGTTATTTTGTAATTACAAAAAAATAAAACATTTTTAGCAATGTAAAATATTTCCAAAAGAAAGATGTACTTAAATGATACATTATAAAGTTCATACATAAACAAATACCAAACATTAATTAACAGAGCTTAAGTACTATTATTTAATAAGTAGATTTTATATTATTTAAAGCCTTAGTAACATGTTTTTGTGAAAATAGATAATCAAATACATTATTCTAAAAAGGAGATATCAAACAACATATACTGAAAAATCAAAAACAAAAATTAGATAAAAAGAAATATATTAAAAATCACCAAATTTTATAACAGCATAATCTTAAAAAGAAAAGAACAACAACTGATATTGCTTATTTAAATGATTCATTCAGCTTTCAAGTTTAATGTGCCAAATTACACTACATTAGTCAGGTGATAATCTTGTCTTTCAAAGAAACAATATGTAATTAACAGGGAAAAAAAATACATTTTATGCTTTGATGTAAATGGAACAAAAAAGTTTGTTCCAACTCAATGTAAATCATATAATACTAGTTATGAAACCATTCCAGATATTCAGGGTGTTAGTAAAAATTTAACAATAATATAGTTTTGTATAAATAGAAGATCCGCAAACGTACTACTGTGCCACTGGAGGACATGATTTTCTTTCTAATACAGACAAAACTCTGCAACTAGAAATTGGAAGCAAACATTGATATCATAAATAAGTCTACAAAACACAAGACAAAACAATTATCGTGAATTTTTAGGGTAATAACAAATTTGGCTATAAATATTTTACAATTAAATTTTTTGCTTTTATTTTGCAAATAGTGACGAATTTATAAATTGTTTATTTGTTGTTGAGCACAAACCTGCACAATGGGTAATGTGTGCTGAACCCACTGTAGGTATCAAACCCCAAATTTAGTGTTATATGCCCAAAAGCTTACTATTGAATAACTGGAGGGGGAGATATCTTAACTAATGCAACCGAAATAACAATTGATTTTATATAATTTCATGCAGGATTACCTTCAACTATACATTCATTTTTATTTTTCTTCAACAGATTAAATTGTTATAAATGATGCAGCTAATAAATTACAATCCAAAGATAGCACAAAGTACAATAATGTTTACAGCTTTTTAATGATGAAAGTCTTTACATTTTTTAAATCAGGGGCTGCTCTAGCTCATAAATAGTTGAAACCAAATAAACTGCCCTTCTCAGAATTCTGTCACCAGTTTTCAAAACCAGGAGTCAACTTAATTAATTTATTACCTATTTAACTGGCACGTATATGACACATGAAATTTTATTTTATCTGTACAGTAAACAGACAACATATTGTTATGACAGCAGAAGACACGTGATGCTGAAAGCATGCGCGATGGAGTTTCTAGAAGGATCATGACTTATCAAAGAACCTCGCGAATGTCCAAGTGTTTGCCAGGCGCCCTCTTTCTTAATATATAAGCCTGGCAAATAAAGTCAGCGATAGATAGATAATTGCTGACAGGCAGAGATAGAGACAGACAATTGAGTCAAGTGCGGTAGTGACCTTAAGTAAAGTGCGTGAATCATTGTGAATTATAGTGTGTGTTTAAGTTAAAGTGCCTGTGGAAATTAAGTGTATTACAAAGTTGTAACGAGAAAGAATACCAGAAATTAACAAACGAACAGAGACGTAACAAATTGGTGTCAGAGTGTGGGACAAGAAAAACAAAATGGAAACGAGAAGCGGCAAATCAAACTATAGCTTAGCAGATTTGATGGCAGCAACACAAGAGCAGCAAAAGAAACAAGAAGAGAGATTACAGCAGTTGTTGGAGTAAAAAGAAAAGAAACAAGAACGAGATAAGAAACAAGAGAGATTACAGCATTTGTTGGAGGAAAAAGAAAAGAAACAAGAAGAAAAAGAAACAAAAAATATGAGAAAAGAAACAAGAAAAGAGATTATAGCAGTGGCAACTGGAACAAGAAAGGAAACAGGAAGAAAGTATCCAACAACTACAGGAAAGTCAACAACAGTGGCAAGAAGTACAAATGGAAAACATTAGCAAATTTCAAAGTGAATTAAATACATTAAAGGGTGATTTACTGTCTTTTACACAAGGAGGATATAATAGCCATTGACCTAATCAGCCTCAGACAATGGGAAGCCTCCTCCAGACCCCGCAGCTAAACCCTAATGCAGACATCTTCAGTCCTGTTAGAAGTCACATCCCAGATAT